CATCATAGGATGAAATGTGTGACAAGGTGTCTGCAGAACAGCTTAAGAAAAACAAAACAAAAGAACTGCAACAGTTTGGGGATAAAAGCCACAATGTCAACAGCATGCTGCATCATCACACAAGAACAGATTTATGCTCGTATGTTCATAACTGTTTATAGAATTTAGGAGCGCTTAAAGACGCTTCTGCACTGAAACCAAAGCCATGATTAATATCCGCCATTTATTTAAAGCATTTATTTTGTCATGACTGTCGGATGAATTATTTTTTACAAGACTTCATTTTTACAAGAATCTTGCCTGGATTTATTGTGGTAATAAAAAATGCTGTCTGTCCTCTGAAGGAATTTCCATTTAACTGTGCCAGTGGCCCTGTGTAAACCAGAGACAACACTGACGGCAGTCACTCTCTTAATCATCTTATTTTGTTGGAGAAAACACATATTTGAACTTGAAAAGGAGGCTTCATTGTGCCGAAGTACATTTACTTGAAGAGTGACTCATTTCAGGTCCTGGAAGTTTACTAGTAAAGCTTCAACAATGTCTGTAAAGTTATCTTAACAAGACAATAAACGACCGCTTGCCAAGACTCTCGGTCTATTTAATTAAAGCTGAAGCTTCTTAGTGGGATTGAATGAAATTTTTGGCAGAGGTAAAGCAATATGCTGGGAAGGTGGTGAGGGTCAAGTGGAGTCCACTGGGGTGAGAGTCCAAGCTTTTCTACATGCATTTTATTTAATTTTTTTTCAAGACTGCAAAGAACCGGGGCGTGCAGGTGGAGCAGTGGTTAGCGTGCACAACCCAGGTACGGAGTCCTTAGTCTTCGATGCGGCGACCCGGGTTCAAATCTGGCCAGGGGTCCTTTCCTGCATGTCTCTAACCCTCTCTCATACCCCCTTTCCTGTCATACTACTGTTGAAAAAAACAAGCCACTAGTGCCATAAAAACACACACACAAAAAAAACTGCAAAGAACCCAAATGGATCCTGTGTATCAGATGACTAAATATGGTGACGGTAGTTTGGCAGTATTCCCTATCAAGGACCTGGAATGAGCAAAAATATCAGGAAATAGGCAGTTTGATTTTATTTATCTCACTGTTATCTGCAGTGATTTAACAGAGGAGCAGGAAACTGTATCCAAAGCCCCGACGTAAAACTGATCCAATGTTTGGCTGATGCCGAATAATTTCAGTTTAAAGCTGAAGTCTGTGTTTGCCAGTCAGAACAATAATTTCAGTCTAAATGCATGTGACTGTTTTTAGACCAATACATTTTATGAAGATAATTTTTATGAAAAAAATAAAAACACATTTTATTGTCTTGATTATTTATCAATATTGTTGCAAGTCTGCATCTTTTCTTTAAACTGCCAGGCCTAAATGATGCTGCCTGTGAATGTTCATCTTTTACTCTCTAGGTGGCAGTGTTGATACAAGACCTAAAACTGCATTGAGAAGCATCTCCACCATAGATACCAGGTTTGTGTTGCCAGTGCTTATTCATAAATCTCATCATAGAGTTGTTATGACTTTTCAGACATTTTTTTATTTTGAATTCTTGCCCTGTGGATGCAATTAAGGTTGTGCAAAAGCATTAAATTTTGATTGAATTAGTTGTATCCTTTAATAGAACACAGCTGCTTCCTTACAATAAGGATATATTCAAATCAAAATGAATACAACCTTTTTATTATATTTATCTGCACTGAATTAAAATTAGATTGTTTTTATATTTATACTTAAAAAAGCAGTCAAACACAACTTGCAAAGGCAAACCAACATAACAGCAAAATGAACTCGAATTATAACATTTCAAAGTAGTTTGGACTATATTGCATACTTATAAAAAAATATTTTACCTCCTCACTTAATCATTTCCTTAAATTATTCTTTGGTTACATTTTTGTACTCATCTTTTTGCAAACTTTCTGTTTATCGACATTAAACAAGAAATTTCCTGTCCTATTTAGAAAAAACATAACAATTTCAATGATTAATTACATTATTTCGCATTTGTTTTAGAATGCAGGTTGGGGTCATGATAATGCTTTTCCCTTTACAATCCATGGGGTCACGCCATTTACATATTGATTACATCTAAACCTTTTTAATTTTGCAAAAAAACAAACAAAAAACAAACAGATTTTTTCTATTCCTAATCAGTTTTTTTGAGATGATCCATAGCAGGTCTTTAGTTGCACTTACATTAGGTTTCCTGCTGTAAACGGTAAGCGATATACAGTTTTAAAGCTCTTACCTGCCGTTAGTGCCCTATTTTTGGCTTTCATTGGATTAAAGACATATAAGGAAACGTGAGAGGATTTATGCCGCATTCTGACCCGTTTTTTTCATATTTCAAATATTTTATTTCAGCCATAACAAACATTGTATCCATTATTACACAGCATGGCATAGAGATCTTTATCGGCTACATTCAAAAAGTATTAATATCATTTCTTTAACATCTTTCACTTCACTTCTGGCTCAAGTCAATACTGAGCTTGTATGGAACTCATTATAGAGTGGGAAAGCTGCTTTCTCAGTGCCTTGCCATTTTGTTCCATCTGTTTAGAAGTCACCTCAACATGATCTGAAGCCAGCCAGTCAAGTGACCTGGAATCAATACAGTCCAGCTCAGTGGAGGAAAATAAATCAGACTGCTTCATTTAACCCATAAGAGTTCTGCTGCATAGCTACAGCACCACGGCTTGTAATGAGAAAGGCATGTTTGATGACAAACTGATTCTTCCTAATTCTTCTTTCTTATTCAGCTTCAGCAACTTCTGACTTTGTTTCCAGGAGGTATATCGCTGCATGCTTTCCAGCGCATGGTGGACTGTCATGAGCTTCCATTAAAAAAAACAAAAAAAAAACAAACAACAAAACAATTTATGTCTTTTGCTCCTTTTAAATAAGACCTAAATCAGCAATCTTTGTGTAACCTGGTATTTTATCATATAATCTCTATAGGTGTCATATATATATATATATATATATATAACATTACTGCATGTATTGCTTTGCATAAGACAGGAAGCAGTTCATTATTTTTCAATTACAATTTCTGCCACTGCATACTTTACCTCCAAAAGTATATTCAGTCTGCTATATTATACAAATGTTATCCTTTCTTAAAAAATAACGATGTAATTTAACCAACAATTTTGGAGCATTCAACTTATTTTACAGAGTTGTAAAAATAAACTAATTGGAAGCCTCTCTAAAAAAAAAATTATAAACAGTAATCTCATTAAAGCCGCGTGTAACTTATGATAGTAATATATGTAAGAACTATTTACAAATATATAATATTATTTGATATAAAGCATTGTGTTTTCTTTTAAGATAAAATTATTCCTTCTAGTAAAGCTGGAAAACGTAAAAACTTCCAGATGATCAATTTATTTATTTATTTTTTGCTTTTTAATGTTTTTTTTTTTCTTTTTTTCGGTTACATCTGTTGCACTCTTCCAACAAAGTTACGTCTTCATCTTTTTATTTTCTTGGGGTATTATACTACATTTGATTCAAATGAATATAATCATTTTGCTTTTAAACGGCTTAAAAAATATTACTCATTAAAAAATCAATAAGTTAATATATGGTATATGTCATGCTTATTTTTTATTTGTGTTATCATTTTAAATGACTCTCTTTTTAATTATCAAATTTTAAATAAATTCCTAAAGCATAAAAACATGTTGAAAAAGTGACTTTTTTTTTTTTTTTTTTACAAAGCTGTAGAAGAATTAGTGAATGGTACAAAGAAAATAATTTACCCAATAAACGTTAAATATGTAATTAATTATTCATAAGATTATGATTTGGCATTTCAATCTGTGGATGGGAAATTATCACCAATAATTCAAGTTTTTATTACCATTGATGTATGATAATGAGCCATAACCTTGACTAGTGTTTATTTATTTATTTTTTTACTATTTCTTCTGCAGGAAGAAAAATTGTTCTTTCCATGTAAACTAATCCCCATTTTCACATGAATTTGGACCCATTTGAAATAACTAATTTGGGCTGAAACAATAAAATTAAGTTATATCTGCTATTGGGATATTCCATGCCATATTCCATATATAAAAGGTGACCAGGCATGTGAAAACATTTACTTCTTTCTATCTATCTAACCTATTTAGCCATGAGAATGGTTTATTATATTAATTGGAGAGTTAAAAAGGAAATGATACACATAGTTGCAAAACCTGCAAAAAATACTACTGTTTTGACCCTGGAAACAGTGATTTATGTAAATAATAATTAGCATATATGTTTTCAAGAAACCAAAAAACAAAACAAAACAAAACAAAGCCTAAAACGATAAAACAAAAAAATCGGATAATAATAATAATAATAATAATAATAATAATAATAATAATAATAATAATAATAATAATAATAATAAAAGCGCATCATGGTCTAACGATGGAAGTGGCTGAACAGTATCGACTAATAAAAAATTTAAATGAAAGGAAAATGTGAAGATAAATTGCAAACTTACTTCTTATGTTTTTCCCGGTTGGTCACCTGTTACAATCCGCGCGGAGATGTCAAATTGAGTTTCATTATGAACCTTAAAGAAACATTGGAGCTTTGTTTATACAAAGATTAACCTGTAATTCCAATCTGAGGAGTGTGGGACTGAGAATAAATCTCTCCATCTTTTATAACATCTCCCTCAGCAATTCATTATCGCAAGGTGAGGCTCTGAGGATAGTCCGTCTGTCTATGATTGACAGCAGGGTGAACTGAAGTGGAAGTGAAGGGGCGAGCACTTCCATTTAAAACAGGTTAAGCTAAAAGCGTGAATAGTTAAAGTAATTTACTGGACTAATTATAAATGTATTTATTATCTATATCTGCTGTAAAGGGGACTTGAGTAATCCAGGGGAAGAAGTGTATGCTGTGCGTCTGTGTTGCTTGGTTCTCCCCCCTGTCTGCTCTTTCATGGTTTCGTCCAAACTTGGTCCAGATTTGAGTTGGTTTTGCTCTGCTATCTGAGATCGCTCAACTGGAGGAGAAGGACCGCCAGTCCCATCTCTGTGTTTGCCTTCAATGGCTTTCTGGACTTATTTTATTTGAATGTCTGGGCATTTGCATCACCAATAATGGATATTTTATGGATATTATGGAGCATACCGACCGTAATAGCTGTTGAAGGTAAGACCCTGCGCGCATCTCGACTGCTGCACGCGCATCCTCGCACCGGCTTGAGTTTTAGACAAAGCGCGTGTATAAATTCGCCCTTTATTATGCTTAATTAATCATTTTTATCCTCGTCTTATATTAATTTGCCATTGGCGCTTTTTACTGTGCCGAAATGCTGCACATCGAGTTTTTTTTGGGGACGCTAGGATGATAATGGGTCACAAAACACATGCACTTGCAGCACACTGTACCTAATAACGCTTAATAACCTAATTTCCGTCTAAAACTACCGGCTTTTGTGTGGTTACCTACACGAGGATAAAAACATTAATTGGGACAGACGCTTCTGTATGTGGAGGTGTGTCTATCTCAGTTGTCACCTGGGAATAAGCAACCAAATACCTCTGTTTATACCCTTATGTTATTTACAAACATATACAAACAGAACATCAGCCAATTTGACCCTTAAAAGCCTTTCTTTTTTATGTTTTTTAGAACATAGTGCAGTCAGTTGTTCAGAGAGCTTAGCAAAGCAGCAAAGGGCATCATTCAGTGTGGCTTAGAGCACAATGAAACAGGTTGAATGGTAAAAACAGCTTTTATAAGCTTTCAGGTATTCACAGGAATCTATGCATAAAAGTTACTTAGTAAGGCTTTCTGCACAATAGTCTTCTATCAGGGCTTGTGACTTTATTGTAGCCGTCAAATCATTTAAAGGCTACAGAGTAAAACAATTGTTTTTAATAAATCAAACTAAAAAATAAAAGTTTCCTCTCAATTTATTATATATTTTTTTGCAAGTTTTCAGTTGCAGGAATGAGTTAGCCCTATGACAAGTCAAAACACACCATGCTGAGCAGTGGTAAGTGTCAGCCTAGTAATTTTTTCCAGCCTATTTTGAGGATGCGTTCAGAAAACAAATGTATCCTCCTTCCTCTGGTCAGTTTAACTAAACCTCATAATAACAGGTGGAGCAAAGACACTATTCCAAACCAAACCGAGATCTAACTGCAGGATAAATTTTCCCAAAAAAGAATAAAAAACAATTGAAACATAGGAAAACTTCATATTCAACTTTAAACCATTTGTACGTGCCGCTTATGCAGGTTTGTTGTGCAGGTTAAAAACCTGATAGCCTCCTTGTTCTGTCAGGTCTGGCACAGGCTCTGGTAAGCATCATGCATATTTACAGGAGCCACCACTTACTGTTCTGGTTTATGTTTTTTAATTCAGTTAAATATAATTTTCAGTGGAACAAGTTACAGTATACACTGACCGGTTTAATATTTTCCTGATACTTTTATAATATTTATAAGTGTCTCATAAAACAGCCCCGATCCAATTTTTAGTTTTTTATATAATCAAAAAATAGGGAAAACACAACATGTTATTTTAAAATAAAATCATTATACCACAATTATATTTTTGTGGCCGTATTCCGCTAATAAAACTAGTGTAAATAGTTTAGATTAAAGCTGTAAATTAATTATTTTTATTATTTTATAATAATTAATAATATAATTATTATTATTATTATTTTCGGCTCGACATAAACAGTTTTTATATTAAATAAAAATTGCATTAATTAAAAAAAAAGTTGCTCTGATGGTTTGTGTGTAACATTATACTTTATATATGTGCATTATCACAACAATTTGATATGATTTAATTTGTGATGTTTTTGCTTGATTTGCTGTTGAAGTAACAGTTTGTTTTTCTGTCCAAAATTTGTTTTTACTGGTCTCTTCAAGTTCAAGGGAAGGACAGGATATGAAAACTGCCAAAAATAACAACAATTTCACACTACTCAGGGTTCCACCTCTACTTTTTTTTTTTTTTTCTTCTCTCTCGTTCAAAATCAATCAGAGCAGCTGTTGTTGTTTTTTTCACTTTTCTTACTTTTCAGTCCTGGCCGTAATCATACATCACCTTTAAAATGCACAGTATGAAATCTTTCAATGAAAAAATCTGTAACACAATTCCATCTGGATTTAACGGTGACGCTAGGTTCAGGATTCAAAACGCAGCATGTACATTTCAAGGACTTTTTGGACGGTCGGTTCAACACCACTTTTTGTTTCAAAACCCAACTAAGCCCGTCGCCGACTGAATGCCGTCCCACATCTGAATTCTACCCTGTGACTCATCCTGTTTGACTGTCCAATGAGAGCGAACCACTGGCTTGCGTAGGAAAAATTAAGAGTTGAAAAAGAGGTCACTGCAGCTCTAATCTGTAAAGAAAAGGATGTCTATCCCAGCATGCAACAGTAAAAGAGCCCTCCAGTGGATTTTTCTGACAAGTTTATTGAAGAGACGACTTTTCCTCTCTGTTTTTTTAAGTAGTTGCAGACATCTTTACATGCCCCTGGCTTTCGGCGTTACAGATAAAATAATTGTTATTTAATTTCTCTTATTTACTAGCAGAATAAACGCTGCACTTTATAAAAACTTTGTATTTGAATAAATCAATGCAACTCCAAGTAAATACGCAACAAAATCTCAATACGGCATTTATGATAACCTCGGTTTCCGAGGAAGCAAACATCAAAGAGCTATTTGTTATACAAATAATCGATGAATCAAGCAGGGACCATGTTAGGACGGCTAAGAGGATTAGAACTGTGTCTTAACTTAACAAAATCCCAGCTGTGCCTCAAGTGTCCATTTTACAAATAGTACGTTAAATCTGCCATCCATGCTAAAAACGACAATACTGTAAGCTGACACTGAAGGATCATTATTTGCATCGAGACTATTTCTGTTTTCCTTTAAGTCTCGTTTCTATTCAAACTACTGCACAACAGCACCTCCCAGCACTCAAAGCTGTGCATGAAGTTAATTCATCCTTTCCATTCAGCCATAATCCAAAAGCATTTATACACAGCGTGGAACACAAAACAACTTTAAATTAGAGTTAATGTAAGCTGATGCCATGTGCTATTGGTTTAGTTAAAGGCAGGGGAGAGGCTCTTTATGGAAATTAATAGACGCAGTACTGGCAGGGAAATTAGCCTAACTCTGTCAAACATGTCTATGAAAACACACCGTGGATTTATCCCCCTTATTAGCTTTCCCATTTATTGTCATCAGTGTTAAGTTGACAGTCCTACTAACAACGGTGACACCAATCTAATTCAGTCGAGTGGAAATTCTCAGATTCATTTTCAGCCATAAAATTGTTGTAGCCTGTATTGTTAGGGGGAAATGAGTTTTACAAGATGGATTATTTGGCTGTTCCACTCTTGCTCCCCCCCCCCCTTCTCCTCTATTGTGATGTTTTAGTTTGTACTGTCCAAATGTTTTTCTGGGAGGTTTGGTGTTGCTATGATGCAACAACGCTCTCATCCAGACTTGTATGCATGTCATTGTCGGTGTGAGTAGGATGATAGATCACTTTGATACAGCTTTTTTTTTTTTTTTCCTGTCGTTCTTTGAAGGAAGCATAATGGGAGCAAAACCACAGCAGAAGATGGTGAAGTGCGGTAGAATGAAATCACAGCGTGGAGTCTTTAAAAAATGTCTCACAGATTTGATTGCATTTCAGTATGCACCGCATTCCTTTAGCTCTGCATTCAGGACTGGACACCATACAGCTAAACACTGGCAAACATGTCCCAAGTTGATGTTTTACACTTCTAATAGGTTCAGTATTGCATATTATGTTGTTTTTCTTTTTTTGGATGCAGTTTGTTTTCACTACTATATAATCACAGGATATGGAAAAGCTTCACAACTGAAGAAAACTTTCTTATTTCTGTAAGTTGTAGTATTTGTCATGTTTAGTCGATGTGTTTAGCTGATGATTTTTTTATTGTCTTAATTTCAGCAGCTGCTTCTGAAAAGATTAGATTGAAGAGTGTGAATGAGACACAACTTTGTGTTTCGGAGAGGTAAAACGATAGGTTTCTGAAATGGGCTCAGATGGAAGTGAAATGAGTGACCGTATACAGTCCAGTGTTTTCTCAGTCCACCCAGTGAGCAGATGCATGGAGCTGCCCTGCACGCCAACCGCCACAGTAGGCTTTCACAAAGAATCTGTCTCTATTCAAACCCTAATCCATGCTGCCGAGGGCCCGGGCATTGTCACTTTGCATGCAAAATTTCAATTAGTGCTGGTACCAGTTGTTTCACTTGAAGGGGGTGTCGCATTTCTGAGACATCTATGGCTACCTCTAGGGTGTGATTAAGGCAGTATCAGTGATTTACTTAAGAAAATCTTTTTTCTCCCTGTATCGCATAAGGTTATATACACTGTGACTGAGCAGCTTAGCATTATGGTGGCCACTGTGTGTATTACATTATATAAAGACTTTGATTGCGATAGTTATTAAAACAAACAGTAATGCATAATCGCTTATTGTTTAAAAAATTAATGAAACAAATCAAGGTTGATGGGTTGTCTGGGTCAGATGTGTTAAAACTTTAAGAGGGGATTTCTCTTTGATCGATTTCTGCTCCACGCTGGCTTGAGCACATTGCTCCTGGCATCCGCCTATTGAAGCGTTTTAACTAAAGTTTGATTCCAAATTGTGATGGATAGCTTGACACTGTTTCCATGCCTTTAACTGTTTGGATCAAATTGCTTGGGTTAACTTTTGTGAGCCAACTCTCCTTTTAGTCTTCTTTCTAACAGACCTTTGCTGGGTTGAATTTAAGCTAAAATGGTATTTAAGTGAACAGTGTTGACATGGTGTTGAAAAGCCTTCAAGTTGCCGGAGTTTCAGACCTGGCAACACTTTATAAATCAATGATCTTGTAGGTACTTCTAATTTGTTCTGCTATTTATCCTTGCCAGTAATACTGTTTAAAAAAGAAAGAATAAGATGACTGAATGGAATCTCATGAGCTGTACTCACGCTCCACTGAAAGAAAAGCTCATATGAGAAGTGACCATGATGTCTTAAAACAAAATTATCATTTAAATAGAACAGCAATGTTGTACTTTTTGATTGTGTGTTATATATTTAAATCTTGTTCATTACACCACAGTTTTGATGTTTGATGAATCTGTT